CGATGACAGCCCGCACCGGCTGTACGTGCCCTCTGTGGGCGTCGGTTTTTGGGTGCGGGTGACGCGTTTTCGTGGACAAGCCGCGTTTCCTTAATTGCATTTCTGCATCAGAAGCTTCTGCGGAAATTTCAGAGATCGGGCAGCGTTCCACAGGCAGGTTTTTTTTGCGAGAAGATGAAGGTTTTGTCGTTCATCATCCGGGTGCTGCAGAGACGGGTGGTTTTCACGGCAGGGCTCGGGGTCTGGCGATGTCTCGGCGGCCCCGCTGGCTCCCTGCCTGCCCCAGCCCAGGGCTCCGGTTACCTGCGGGCAGCCCTGCCTGCACAGCCACCTCAGGAGCTGCACGAGCGTATCCGTGGGCCCGAAAACGAAATAACCGAGGGGTCTGCGGGGTGTCTGTTCGCTGGGGGGGGTCCAGAGTGTCTCTGCTCACTTCTCTCCTCGTGTCTTTCTCCTTTTAGTTCCCTTTCACCACGTTTTTTTCCTGCCTGTCATCGCTTGTGATTGTTTTTTCCACCCCTTACAGCTGAATGCCAACTTGCCTTCCGGTTTCGCTGCCGACCACGGACTCCAGAGCCCTTCCCTATTTCATAATTTGTATTATTAGCACATCTGTACCTTGAATGCTCCGGTCAGATCAGCTCTTAACTTTATTTTTTTAACTGAAAACGTTGCAGAATCAGTTACTGGAAATGAGGACAGACTCCTCTTCGCAGAGACTGAAAGGATTAGGGCTGCTTTGTTCCCCGAGCTGACACACGAGCAGGGAGATGACGGTAGGCAGAAAGTAAACCCCCTCTTCCTTTTTATCTTCTCAGCGTAAGAACGGATGGCTGGATGGTGACAGCGTTGAAAGGCAACGTTTAAACCGCTGTTTTTTTCCAATTTATCGAGGCTTTGGGGTTTTTTTTAATAGGTAGACGCTCGGGTGGCAGGTACAGGGAGAGGTTAATGTCGTTAATAAGCGAGAGCGCTTAACAGAGCTCATGTGGGAAGCTCCCCGGGACCGTAGCTGTTGTATTTATCTCTGCGAGCGCCTGCGGCGGGCGTGAGTGTTCTCATAACGAAGCTTTTCCGTGATTAAGCGAGTAATGAGAGACTCGACGGCCACGTCAGGGAGAGGTCAGGAGGGGAAACGGCGCTCGCGTGCCTCCGACGAGGTGAAATCGGGGGGTGCCCGGTCCCGGGTCGGTGACGTCGGACCTTGGGGTGCCTTCGACGCGCGAGGTTTGGGTTTTAAAATGGAGCTTTTCATCCCGTTTCTCCCAGGATGGCTGCGTAGAGACTGACTTGAGCACCGGCAAGGGGGAAAACTCTGGAGGAGAGCCGCGACCGTCTCGCCCGCAGCCTCGGTCCTCCGGATATCTCCGCTCCTCGCAGCGCAGGGGTGAAGGTCGGGCACCGATCCTGGCTTATCTTTGTTTTTCAGGCGAGGAGCTCTGAGACACGTTCTCAGGCAGCCCCGCTACCTTAAACAGCTGACAGCGATGGGTTTGCGCTACTGGGGGCTAATTAGTTTAGCGGTCGGGTGGACCAGCAATGCCTGATTTGGCATTTACCCTCCCTGGATCCATCCTCGGATCCATCCCCATTTCGGCACATCCCGTTCGGTTGGGGAAGGAGACGGATCTCGGCACCGGAGCCGCGAACTGGCCCTGCCTGAGTGGTGGCAAGGACCCAGGGTGGCGTTTCGGGTGAACCATGGGGTTTTTTTGATCCAGGTATTTGGGATTTTTAAGGCTTGGAGTCGGGGATTTTAGTGTACGAAGGTGATCTCAGCTGCTGGGGGACGTTGGGCACTGGGGTCGGGCGTGAGGGCGATACGCAGCTCGTCCCAACCTCCGCCCCGCTGCACTCGCGTGCTCCGACGACGCTGTAACGCGGCGTTGCGGAGGAAACCGCAGAAAAGATGAAGTTGTTCGGGAGGAGTTGAGTTTCTTGGGATTTTGCCTCCTTCGCAAAGCCCGGGTGCGAAGCTGAGGCGAGTCCAATTGGGGAGCGATAAAAATCATCATTTGGATGCAAAGCGCCTCCTACAAATTGCCAAAAATAGCCTTTTAGTGCATCAAACCGTCGTGATTTCCCAGGCCCTGCTGCGCAGAGCTTTCCGAGCACGGAAGGCAGTGGCGTTTGTCCTGCTGGGAAAATCCTCCCCTTTTTTTCCCCAGAGCTTCCTTTGCAAACCTTACGGGGTCGTACGTATGCGGGGGTTTAGACAGATTTTGATACCAATGCTGATTTTTCTCGCCCTCAAGGGATGTGTTTGGGGACAGGCTGTGGGTGTTTCGTTAAAAAGTACCCCGTGTTTTGGAGAGCTGGGGGAGAGTTGCGGCGGGTTATTAATTGCAGAGACAAACAGCGTCTTTTGGGACTGACAATTCCTCTCTCCGTGCGTGATCCGATGCTGTCGGAGGTGTCTGGGCTTCTCATCCCCGCCAGGAATGATTTTTGGAAGCCGAATCGGTCCTTGGGCGGAAGATCTTTCACCGAGCGCCTTGCTAGCACCCGCTGCAGACAGGAGGAGGCTCCCTCCGCCCGCGGTGCTCGCCTGCCGCGCGCCTGTGCACGCTCGAATGGATCCGGAGGAAAGGACACGCTCGCGGCTGCCTGGAAGCGACCTGGTTTTGCGGATCCAAACCCCGTCGCCTTTCCCCGACCTGAGACTCCCCCCGGTGTTTTTAAGAGCTGGTAAAGTGGAGAAGCAACTGCTGTGGGCTGGAAACCTTCAGGGAGACGCCGAGCGTCGACTTAGCGTCGAAACCAAGAGTGTTTCCCTGGCCGTAACCTTGTTTCTTCCAGCATCCAGAGCTTTAGGGGCTTCCTGGCCTGGCAGGTTGAACAATAACCGCGGATAGTCCCCGTTTGCTTTCTCCTCCCTCCTCGCTCATCGCTTGCAATGAAACGATCCCTTCAGCCTGCACGGGAATCATTTTTGGGAAACGAAGCCGAGTGAAAACCCTTCGTTCTCCACCCTGCGCCCTGCAGGTGCAGCCCAGGAGCAAACCCAAGGCGTGGCACCAAGGTCGAGCTCGTGGTTGACCCCTCAACCTTTGCGGATGAGGACGGGCTTTCGCAGTGTTTCCAGGAGCTTGCAGCATTCCTCAGCCCAAGGCGGGCTTCGAGCGGGGAGGACTCCCTCCAAACACACAATAAAAAGAAGAGAAATCCCTCGCTATCGTGACGCGAGCGCCTAAAATGAGCAGGAGCTTGAAGATTTTGTTGAACGCTTTCCGCGCTGCGCCCTCGGCGGGAGCGGTGGCACCGCCTGCTCGCTGAAGGGACGCGTGTGCAGAGGCCACAGGGTTCCTGCTTGCAGCTTGGGCCGGATGAAGAGCGATGAATGTATTTTAAATGCTGTTAGCATGGCAAAAAAAATATATATATTGACTCTTCGGTCAACTCTGCAGCCCCGCGCCGGTGGCGTGCCTGTTACAGGAGAGGTTCTGGGGTTGTATTTGGTGGGGGAGGCAGGCGGCTGTAAGCGAGGAGCTGAAATTAGGTTTTTTGGTCCACGTTTTTTAACTGAACAGGGCGGTCGGGTTGTGCTTGATCGGTGCCTTTGTGATCTGTCCTGCTTCGTGACCCTTTCCGACGGGGCGTCGGGGGTTTTGGCACCCGTCTCACCCCCACCCCGTCCCGGGGTTTGTTTTTTTTTTCTCCCCGCAGCCATGGATTTCCCCCAGCACAGCAAGCAAGTCCTGGAACAGCTGAACCAGCAGCGGCAGCTGGGTTTGCTGTGCGACTGCACCTTCGTGGTGGACGGCATCGACTTCAAGGCCCACAAAGCCGTGCTGGCGGCCTGCAGCGAGTATTTCAGGATGCTCTTCGTCGACCAGAAGGACGTGGTGCACCTCGACATCAGCAACGCGGCAGGTAGGCAGAGGGTTAGCCGGTATCCCTCCGAGCTGCTTAAACGAAGCCGTTTGGTGCCCAGGGTTTGAGGGAGGCTCTTCAGCCTGTTATTCCGTGCGCTTTGGGCTTTTCAGAATTGTATGGCCGAGAGGTGAGAGCTTATTTCTGGTTGCGTCGCCTCCCTTGCAGGCCTGGGCCAGGTTTTGGAGTTCATGTACACGGCTAAGCTAAGCCTAAACCCCGACAACGTGGAAGACGTGCTGGCCGTGGCGGGTTTTCTCCAAATGCAGGAGATCGTTAGCGCTTGCAACGCTCTCAAGTCCCTTGCTGTGCCGGGCGAAAGCCCCGCCAAGAGCCAGCAGCCCCCCGCCGGGATCGGTACGTAGCCTCCTCGCTTCCCCTCATCCGGGGAGACTGGAAGTTGCCCCGTGAAGCGGCCGCGCTCCCTGGCCGCCATCCAAACCCACGGCCTGGGTACATCTCCTGGTGCGCGAGGGCGTCTGGGTGGGGTTTGATCCCCTTGTGAGGCACCAGCAGTCGGAAGAACTGAGGCTTCCTTGAATCTTTGTGGGATTTGGGAATCCTTCTAGCAGCCGTCGGGATGCCCCTGCGCGGGCAGTAAAAGCTGGAGCGCTTCGCCTCTTCCCTCCCAGGGGCCAACAAGGCGACTGTCGAGGGCAAGAGGTCGACTGCGGAAGCGCTGGGTGATCTTGACAAAATAAAAAGGCTTCCTCCCAACCCGGAGGGGAAGGAAGAGGCGCCCGTGGCCGCCAGCAGCACAGCCCGAGGTGCAGACGGAGCAGCTGGGTGGCCAAGAAGGTGAGCCACCAAGGGGTGACACCCCAAATCCCCCCCGTCGCTCCCCCCAGCACACCCTGTCCTGCTGCCAGGCTCTGCTGCGCGGAGCCTGATGTCTCCTCAAGCGTGCCCGAGACACTCTGTTGCTTGTAGGGGCAGATGTTGCCATCCAAGAGGGCCCCAACGCCGAATTCCCCATCCACCCGCAGCCGGCGGAGAGCGTGGTCAGCAGCGGCAGCCCCGCGGCGAAGGGCAACATCCCTCCGGGCGCCGAAACGGGAGGTGTGTTCGTGAGCGAGGGCAGTGGCGGGGACTTTTTCTGTCTGCCCGTTCCCTTCAGCAGGGCTGAAGCAAAGCTGGGCAGGGGCTCAACCCTTGTTGACCCTGCAATTAATTCTGGTAGTGAGAGTTTCGCTGTGCAAACGCTGTCTCCTGCGAGTCGCGGAGCCCACAGGAGCGGTTGTCCGTGGGGCAGAGCTAGGAGAGGTTGGGAGATGTCCTCTCTCCACGCAGGCTTTTGGATTTTAGGCCTAATAACCTGTAAATCCAAAAGGATTCCAGGCAGAGGTCTCGGCACCTGCGTGGTACGATGGAGTACCAGGATTTCCCCGAGTACAGTGGGGCAGGTCTAATCCCCATCGCCTTAAACCCGGGCTTCGAGTTAGGAAATACAGGTGGGTTTTGCTGCCCCCGATGCCTAGCGCCCCCGTTTTCTGAATGCCCGCAGAGATGGAGCTGGAAGGGAAGGAGGAAGAGGGGGGGATGATGGCGGAGGACAAAGAGGAGGCTAAAATCCCCGAGGAAGAGCAGCCCCGATTAGAAAACGGAGAAAACACCGAAGATAACGAATCGGGAAGCACCGACTCCGGGCAGGAGAACTTGGGTGAAACCCGTCTGCTGCGTTCGGGTACTTACAGCGACAGGACCGAGTCGAAAGCCTACGGCTCCGTCACGCACA